CATTGAAAGTATGCTAATTGTGATTCCATGCATTATATGCTTGTATTTGCAACATTTTTATGTATTTGAATTTATGTACCTTAGTTATTAATATTGTATAATCTCACTCCCATTCGTTAACATTTTTATAAGGGACATCAAGGCGATGGAAAAAGGAAAGCCTATAAGGCCAAGGACTAGAGCTTGTTGTTGTAAAGTCTCTAGTCTTATTGTAATATAATTTGAATGCATATTTTGCCAACTTAAGGATTGATTGTAACATGTTAACTATGTTGTTATTCACATGTGACCCTTATTAGTAAATTTGGGTATTTTTTATTGTTTGGCATTAGACTTAGGATAGGCCATTATGTATATTAGTGGTTATGACTAAAGCTCCTTATTTCACAAATTAACTTAATATATTAATATGGTTATGATTATGTATGATTGTGAGATAATTAAGAGTAGTAAAAGAAAGTGGCTCATGTGGGGAGACACTTGAGAGATACTCATAGTATTAAAGGCTTGTTTTGGCACTCAGTTTTATAGGTTCCTCATATAGTATGGGATTGAAAGAAGACCAAAGCCATTAGATAGATCTTTAATTTATCTTCATTTCTATACCTAGATCATCTTAATCAGAGATCTAAATTGTTGATTAGGTAACTTGAAAGTTAGAAATTGAGTGTTGTCATACCTTGTTGTAATCAAGTCTTTGCTGCAGCATATGTGCTGTGTTGAAATTAGCCATAGTAAACTATAAATAAGCCATGACAAACGAGTCAAGCATCGTTGGTTATGCTAGATGGTTCCTTAGCCATGACGGAAGTGCACAATTTCACTAAAATGACTAAATTTCCTTAATTGGAACAGTTTCCCATGCTCAACTTATTCCCATGTTTTTGCAAAATCTTTTTACTCTAATTTTCATAAACACAAGTATTAAAAATTCTAGTAATTATTTGCCACTGAATTTATGATCACAATATCCTTGAATGATATTAAAGACTCTAATTAAATTAGTTTTAGCCATGATTGATCCCTAAGCAAGATGTTTGTTTAATTAATTAAGTCAAGTCTAGATAATGACGGAAGTCATTACAATAACCAATACATATGATCATGCATCCAGCCTAATTTTTCTCCTTTTAACTTCTAAATGAATTCATGGGTTACCAAATGATATAAATCTAGTTCATGTGATTGAATTGTGAGGGGTAATCCAGCCAACTCTCACCCTTAGACAATGGATTCTCTCTTCTTGAATTATTAGGATATCATAAGTGCTCAACCCAAACCATCCCTTGTAGAAATCTAGTGATATTGAACATCATGCCTAACTCATGCAAAATGAAAATACTAAGCACATTTAATCAATAATAATGCCAACCACTATATGCAACTTAGTGGGATCTATACCACATAGATTTTCATAATGCCCTTACTCAGTCATGTGAACTCTCACCCATATAAGATTATGCAATTTATTCATGCTTAATGACATATAATTATTATGTACTTTAACAAGTTAGTGCATACATAAGATCATATTATCAAGCCATGCATTCATATTCACTTCTTAGCATTGCGCCATAGCTATATATTCACTTAATCACATATCCACATCCTCTTATACATGCTCATTCATTCGCTTGCCCATACTCATGCTCATTAAGATTACTTTGGTCACAATTCCAACTTCATATCATGCTTAACAATCATATTGAAATTCATTCAATCACGCCATACAAACTCATACCATCATTAGATACTAACATGATACAACTGCACAACTCAAATCAAATCATTACATTTCATAATCAAACGAGCTCATATTTGCAAATAACAAACATATATTAGAATTTAACTCCATTTACTTCAACTCTTTAGTTACCCTCCCAACAGCACAATTTGTTCTAGATGGAGTAGGTGGTTAGGTCAATAAGAAACTGTAAAACTAAAGCACTGACTTGCATTTAAGATGGATGCAAGAATAAGGAGTGATTTACATCGAGTATAGAACTAGGCATGCAACAACGAGCCAAAGGAGTATCTTCATGAGAAGACATTTTATGAGATAAGTAATGCAATTTTGAATGAAAGATGAAGACAAAGGAAGAAACTATGAATGTTTTTATTGAACCCTAGTTTTAATTATGATAGAATAGAGAAGTTTATTTTGCAGGTAATTGTCTATTTAAAGACTTAAGAAAATTGGACCTGTAAGCTTAAATCTTTGACTTTATTCCTTGTTATTCTGTGAATTGAGATAAGTATTTGATTTATCTCAATTTTTTTTAACAAGATCAGTTGTGGTTTTTGTGCATTTCAATTTCTTTTTTGAGTTTTTCTTATTCACACCAATATGGACTATCTCATACTAGTGTCAAGGATTTCATACTCCTATCTTCGTGGACATACTGATATGAAAACTATCTTTTGGTTCTAAAAGCTCTTCATACCGATATCATCATTTTATTATTGGTATCAACTGTCTAAATTTCACTTCTCTTATTCTCGTTTTCAGACTGGTGGCTATCTAGTCATACATGTATCTATGCTTTACATGATTCATACTAATATCATTGCTTCATACCAGTATCAAATGATCAATGCCATCTTTACATGTTCATACCCATATGAAGTACCTCATACCACTATGAACACAGTCTCTTCATCTTCTCTTATGCAATTTCATGTCAGTATCATATACTTATTACTCGTACCAATCTTGTACAAACATCATCTTTTATTATGTTCATTATGGTATGATCTATTGAATACCCAAATGAGTTTTCAGACCTTCCTCTGCTTCTCTTTCATTCTCATAGCGATATCAAACTCTTCCTTGCTATATGAACATAAAGAATTTTACTCTGCTTTTTTATGTACTGAAATAGAGCATCCTTGTTCATTCCATATCTCATTCAATTCTCAATTTTTCCTATTCCACTTAGTTGTGTTAATCTCTTTACCTTCCTAGAACTATTTTAAACACAACTATGGGTTTGAATTGCACTTTGTCATTTCCTTGATTACTTCTCATGCCCGTATCATGTTTATTCTACCAATAGCAATCTTTTTTCTTTTTTTGTCAAAGCATTTAATATTTATAGTCATTATTACTCTTAAGGCACCAATAACATGCAAGCCCACCTAAAAAGCACTATTTTATTGCCTCAAAGAGTGTAAGTTGTAGATCAATGAAGGAGAACATGTCAATGGCTAATTTTTAAGTCCAACAAATTCTTTTCCATCATCTATTATAAATACAACTCATTCATGAAGCAAGATGTAAAGAAGTGACTAAGCCAACTATTTGCATTCATTTATCTAACTGCCTTGTCATATATTCATTATTATGAGAGCCTCATTAATTGTATATTCACTTTAAGAGAGAGTTTCATTATAGTAGTAATTTATTATTGAATTCACTTTATACTACTTTGTATTTCTCATTTGAAAAAGAGTAACTTAAGCTTAAGGAGCTTAAGGGAATTTGTAATCACTTTTATAAGGAAGAAAGTTTCAGACTTAGTAAAGAAGTTTAAGGGAATTTGTAATCACTTTTGTAAGGAAGAAAGTTTCAGACTTAGTAAAGAAGTTTGGGTTGTATTGAGGTAACCAAGAGTCAAGTTTAATCTTAGTGATTAATGAGAAATCTCAATGGTGCCTTGGGAACTGGGCTTATGCTCAAATGATTAGAGTTAAACTAAGATAAATCATTTATGCAGAGCTTCTCTTTCCTTTACTCAACTTTGTTTGGTGATATCAATTCTTATCTTATTTTCTGCATAATTCCTTCAAATTTTAATTAGTCCAATTCATTCTCTCTTGAGTAGTTTTTATAGCATCGTCAGTGTTGAAGATAGAGTGATTCACACGCTCATAATTGTGAAGACAAAAGCAACCCTTACAATTTTTCTAGGCTATTAATATTTATAGCCCTTACAACTCGAAAAGTAAGCAAATAAACGAGAATGTCATACACACATGGGCCCAATAACCTGAAGGAAGACCATATAAGAAAAACATTAATGCATCTTTCTTTTTTCTTATATTAGCAACAAACCTAACATACTCAAACATTTTAAAATATTGAGTGTGAAAGCAAAAGAAAAAAAAAGTAAAAAAAAAAAAAAAGAGCCCAATACACTAGGATAGTACCAGCTCTGGGGTGAAGCGATCTCAACGCATTTAAGTTATTCAACTGTTCAAATGTTCAGTTAATGCGTTCTACTCATTATCATTCCATTTGATGAATTTCTCCTCTAAAACATCCCACGAAAATAGAAATCCACATTGCTAACGTTATCATTCGAGAGGTCCTTGTTGAAATTACAGATTAATTATCCTCACAAACTCACATTTGAAATTACACGTCAATGTGTCCTATCCTCACAAACTCACAGAACAACTGTGCTACTAAGGGGGATAAAATACTTGTTTGGAAATTCTTGGTGTCCAAACACTTTCTAAACCAGATGATGAAGTGAACATGACATGTAGTAAAAAATTAATCCTGAGGAAAAAAGGGGAAAAAAAAAGATAAAGAAAAGTTGGTCTCGCAATCGAAATAACATGAAAGTGTATCTATATTTATATATGATATAAGAGCTCTAACAAACCACATCATTCATAAGTCATAAATAAAATGACAATTTTTTACACTCTCATATGAGATCTATTTTAATTATATATAGAAGTTTCAAATTAAATTATCTACATTCAAGGATAAATGAATTAAAAGAAAAATAAAAAAATATAGGGATAATTATGTATAAGTCTCAAATAAAAAAATTAATTACTTATAAATCCTGCTCACATGTAAATACTAAAATTTGACATGTAAATATAGAAAATTAACTTGTGAATAAACTGAAAAAATAATTAATTTTTGTAATTGGGACCTGATTGTAATTTTCCCTAAAATATAATTGGGTACAAAATACAATCTCTCCCTCCCTGTTTTTTTTTTTTTTGGTGAATATAGGAGTTTACAGCAAATGACACAAAGAAGCAACCAACGGAGCCTCTCACACCTCATGTATATTGGCTAACATGCCTACATTACACTTGTATTATTAGTCATTAGCATTATTTATAAATTAAAATACCAAAACATTTCAGACTTACTGTTCTCAGTCTGTTGCGTGCAATTTTAAAAATTTCACAAAGCGGACAATTCTCTGACTGCGCCAAACGACACAATCTATATGAAGTTCATTCTACTCTGTAATCTTATGCCCGCCCTCTTTAACAGCTCACAAGAAGCCTCTTCTGCCTTCGAAATAACTTCTTCCTGTCAAGTCCAAAAGGAAAGCAAACTCAAAGTCACAATGAATAGTGCAAAAAGCTGTAGCTCATCTGTCAACCTTCCTCAATCCGTCAAAATAGCTTGACGTTGATTGTTAAATTTTAAACATAGAACTTAATAGATCGGAGAAGGTTGGCTTTTTTTTATAAAATTAATGGATACTAATATATCATTCTTAGACTTAAGAATACTAGACGCTCCTGAAAAAAAAGTTTTAGGATATTTGTACACTTTAACCCTAACATAATTATATCTTTATCTTTCTTATCAACTAAATCTACTAATACCTATTCACCCAGTTCAATGGCATAATCAAAATGAATACCTCATCTAGAGTTTGAATTTTCCTGTCCTTCATTATCCATACACCATTGCACATGACAGCAACCACATTTTCCGTTCTCATGCAATACACGAGGTTTGATATGCTGCATTATAGTTGAAGCTGAACAATGAAATATTAATCAACTAGAAAACGTAATGATCACAAAATGGGAAATAGACTGAAATTTGGCCAAGAAAAACTGCTAGTAGATATACAACTTCCAGTACGCAGCTACATGATAAATTTAGCTACTCCTTATCTTTCTACGAAATAAGAGCACGAAGTTTGTATTCAATCTTAAGTTTGTCTCAAAGCTCAACAACATCACTGTTGAATTCAAGTCCTCCCTCTAATCCCCATTATAAGGCACTTTTAACTTATCCATTAAAACCAAGAAATGACAATAAACCCATTAAATGTCTTAAAATAAAAAAATTCCAGTTTTACCCCTATTAAAAATAGAAAGAAAGATACACAAAATACGATGAGCCATAAAATTAAATTTACAATAGGGTTGAAATTGGAAGATGATATTAAATAACTCTCTTATGTGCCTGATATTAAGAACTAAAAAATCATTCTAGAAGATGCCCTATAATAGGGACCAGAGGAAGTATTTGTTAAACAGCTAATAAAGCATACACAAGATTAAGATTCATGAACTGGCATTTCCAGACAACAATAGCTCCACATTCTTTCTTTGCTTGTTTATCTACGCTATTATCTCCACCACTTTCATATTTGCATACGTGGATGTATGCTCCACTTTCGAAAGAATAACTAGAGAGAGTTGACTAAGTCTAAGAATTTTAATCAAGAATAGATTCATACCAGTCATGAACAGGAACCATAGGCCATGATGAAGGATTGATTACCACAATGTCAGCCTACCAAACAACAAACAAAAACACTATCAGCCTAGCCTCAAAGGCCAGCGAGAACCTAAAACAGAGAATACTTGATAGAAAATATGGCAAATATTACTTTAGGAGGAAATAATTTATTACTTCTTATTACCTTTCATTAGTTTATTAGTTTTGTTGTTTTTCATTTAACTTTTGTAAGTTTTCTTCTTGTGAAGAAAACCAAGCAGCAAGTGGATTCTTATTACTTTTCAATTTTCATTAGTTTATTAACTTTTGTAAGTTTCCTTCTTGTGAAGGAAAAGAAGGAAACTAGGCAGCAAGTGGATGTTTCCTTGTTAGGAAGGAAACCCCATGCTTATAAATAGCATGACTTGTGTATTCAGGAAGGGGAATGAATGTTTGAAGCATTATGATTTTCTGAAAGCTCCCTCTCTCTCTTCAGTTCTGCATCTCTCTTCTATTCTCCCTCTCATACTTCAGTCACTTCTCTCTCTTTTCACCTTCTCTGTTCTCACTTCCCCTCCACCTCCCACTCTCTGTTTCTGTTTCTTCTCCCTTATCCTATTCTGTTCAAATCAGTGTGAGCATGAGTGTTTGTGTTTTACATCAACTTGGTACCAAAGCCTGGTTCTGAACGTCCCTAGGCTGTTTCCGCGGCCGGAGATCGAAGGAAAACTCTCAGGGGAGCTCAACATACTCTGTTCACGCTGCCAGCACTCAGAATCACATTTCCCGACGTCAGATCCAAAAATGGACCCTACTGCTCAAAAGGGAAAATCCGGTCAAAACCGGAAAAACCACCTCCGCCTGAAACCACACACGCCGGTGGAGCTTCTGCGGGTGCCGGCGCGTGTGGCTTCAGGCGCCTCACGCGCCGTCCGTACATTCGCCGCCAGAACGTGATTTCAGTGTTTTCTGTGTGTTTTCGCGGAATTTGTTCAACTTTGAAGGAGCTAAGGGGCACAAGTCATCATCTAAAACTTAGTTGGGGGTAAAACTTTTTGTTTTGGGCTCCTAAAGCAACGCTGGTAAGGCTGACGACCCTCTCATTTAACTGGCTTATTTGGTTCTTAAAGGAAGGTGTTTCATTCGTAGCTAGTTCTGAAATCTTTGTTGTGTGGTACTTTGGTTTCTTTGAGCATTGCAATTTTTATTTTTTTTAATCATGTTTTAATATTTTGAAAATATATATATTAAAAAAAAGGAAAATTTACATTGATCATTATGTTGTTAATTTGTGAATTTTGATAGCAGTGTTCGTATAACCTAAGACACCTACCTCACACACAATCCTGCCCTACACCCGTGTCCAAAAATTACCCTAGGTTAGTTGAAATTTCTAACGGTTTCCCTGAAAGGTTTTTGAACCTTTGGAGATTTCTGTGAAGACTTCACTCGAATTGTTACCTATTTAGCATACAAACCCTGTGGAATTTTTGAATTCTCAGAGGGTTAGTGTCGTTAAAAAAGGGACTTCACCTATTTAGGCGAGGGCAACTTAGGGGCCTTTCTTCCTTAGGTTATTAAATCCACTCCAAACTTGCACTTTACCATACTATCTTTGTCATTGTATGACCATTCGTGATTTATACGATAAGCAAGCTTTATTAGACCAAGAAATTACTGCCCTAAAATCTGTCATGGCTAATAACTCCCAAATCACCCAAAATCATCTTGAGGAATCTGAAAGGACTCAAAGGGCATATATGGACCAGCGGTTAGATGAAATTAAAGAATTCATGGACAATAAATTTGAAGAGATAATGGGTGCAATTCAGTTGACATACAGACAAGATACAGGGAAAACAACTGAAAGGATACTCGAAAGACCTATCATTAGAGGAGTCAAGTCTTAAAAATGAACAATTCCCAGTCCACAATCAACTTAAAGGTAATTCCCTTAGGATTGGTCATTCCTCTAGAGCTATGGGTGAAAGACTCAGTAGAACATTTCCTCGTAAGTTTACCAATCATCATTCTGATGACATAGATGATACTTGGGATGGGCAAGGGCCTGAAGATCAACATCATAGACCATACCAGTTAGTCCATAGGAATGGTAGAGAAGGCCTTAGAAGGACACATATTGATGACATCACCAAAAAGGTTAAAGTTGAAGCTCCTGAGTTTGATGGACGATTGAATCCTAGTGCATTCCTAGATTGGTTAGCCAGCATGGAAGATTATTTTGAATGGTATGACATGAGAGATATTCAACGAGTTCGGTTTACGAAGATGAAGCTCGTGGGACCTGCTAGGAAATACTGGCAAAATGTCCAAAGGAACATTGAGCGACAAGGTTATCTACCGATTGAGACGTGGGATGAAATGAAGGCCAAGCTGAAAGAAAAATATGTGCCGACTCATTATAAGAGTCAACTGTATGACAAATACCTTAATTTAAGGCAAATCTCCACAGCTTCCGAGTATATTTCTCAATTCGATGACCTTATGATTAGATGTGACGTAGATGAAGAGGAATGGCGCACCATTACCAAGTTTGTTAATGGTCTTAAGCCATATATACAAAAAGAGCTCAAGTTAAACTTTCCAGAGTCTCTTGAAGAAGCTTATCATAAGACTTTGGAAGTAGAGTCTCTGTCACAGTACTCATCTGCAAAGCGTATCGATGTGCAGAGCAATCAGTTTAGACAAGCACGAACTTCTAGTCTGTCTGAACGACCAACAAGAGCACTTACATCTAGACCTAGCTCATCTTTTACACCTACTCAAGCTATTGGGTTAAGGGGTAATACTTCTACGCAGCCTAGTGAAGCTATAGTTCCTGCTTCCCGCCATAACAATTCTTTTGTCAAGTGTTTTCACTGTCACTCAAAGGGTCATATTGCATCGAAATGCCCAAATCGTACTCTAGTTATTGACTCACAATATGAGGGTGAGGAAGACAATGCAAATGCTGACGTTGTCATAGATCCGGTTGAGTGTCCTTCAGATGTCAATGAGGACATCATCATTGATGAACATGGGTGTGAGACACGTCGAGTTGGAGTTATGCGATGCATTCTATCTATCCCTCTGCCTAGTGATTCATGGAAGCGAACAAGTATTTTCCATACTTTTGTGAAGTGTGGAGATAAAGCTTGCAAATTAGTGATTGATGGAGGGAGTTCTAGAAATGTTATTTCTAGTCAAGGAGTAGCCCGACTCAATCTCAAGACAGAACCTCACCCAGAACCTTTTCGTGTTGCATGGGTCGACAAAACTTCTTTACCAGTCACCCAACAATGTCGCGTTCCTCTTCACTTAGGTGACTATAAAGAAGAGATTATTTGTGATGTTCTTCCAATGGATGTTGCGCACATTTTACTTGGTCGACCATGGCTTTATGACCACAATGTCATCAATCATGGGCGTGAGAATACCTATACATTTAAGCATGGAGGCAAGACGATCCTGTTACGTCCTGCTAAGCCTGACAACGAAGGCAAGGGCTCAAGTAAATCAAAGAACACAAAATCCAAAACCCACAATTTGCATCTTCTGACAGAAAAACAGTTTGTACAAGAAAGCAGAGAGTACGATTGTGTTTATTTTGGTATCCAAGATCTCGCAATGAATTGCTACTACTTCAAAAATGCCAGCGGAAGTGCAACAGCTCTTACAACAATTTCGGGATATCACTCCCGATGAGCTTCCATCTGAATTACCACCAATGAGAGAGATCCAACATGCAATTGATTTCATTCCAGGTTCACAACTCCCCAATCTACCGCACTACAGGATGAACCCTAAAGATAGGGAAGAGCTTAACTGACAAATCAGTGGATTGTTGGAAAGAGGTTATATCCAGCATAGTATGAGTCATTGTGCAGTTCCTGCTCTTTTAACCCCAAAGAAAGACGGCTCTTGGAGAATGTGTGTAGACAGCAGAGCCATCAACAAGATCACCATCAAGTATAGGTTTCCCATTCCTAGACTTGATGACATGCTTGATTTAGTGTCTAGATCTAGTTGGTTTTCAAAAATTGACCTCAGAAGTGGTTATCATCAGATCAGGATTAGGCCTGGAGATGAGTGGAAGACTGCTTTTAAAACGCAAGATGGGTTGTTTGAATGGCTTGTCATGCCTTTTGGGTTATCAAATGCCCCAAGTACATTCATGAGAGTAATGACTCACCTCCTTCGCTCTTACTTGAGAAAGTTTTTGGTGGTATACTTTGATGACATACTAGTTTTTAGCAAGTCAAGAGAAGAACACTTGAGACATCTCGAGTTAATTTTTCTCACCTTGCATCAAGAAAAGTTTTATGTTAACTTGCCTAAGTGTTCATTTCTTCAAAATCAAGTCATCTTCTTAGGTTTCATAGTTTCTGAAAGGGGTTTAGTAGCTGACCCTGAGAAAGTCCAAGCCATTCAAGAATGGCCTGAGCCACAATCTCTCCACGAAATACGGAGTTTTCATGGTCTTTCTTCTTTCTATAGACGCTTCATTAGAAACTTCAGTACCATTATGGCTCCTATCACCGATTGCTTAAAACAAGACAAGTTTCAGTGGACATCTACAGCTTCCATGGCTTTCCAAGATATTAAGAAGAAGCTTTCTCAAGCTCCAGTCTTGTCTTTACCTGATTTTACAAAGTGTTTCAAAGTTGCTTGTGATGCGTCTAGGACAGAAATCGGAGGTGTACTAAGCCAAGAAGGTCACCCTGTGGCTTTCTTTAGCGAAAAGCTCAATGATGCCAAACAAAAGTACTCCACTCATGATAAGGAATTTTATGCGATTGTGAGATCCCTTGAGCATTGGAAGTACTACCTTCTTCCGCAACAATTTGTTCTATACTCTGATCATCAGGCGCTTAGGTTTATCAACTCTCAGCGGCACTTAAATGCTAAACATGCTAAATGGGTTGAGTATATTCAGGGATTCACTTTTGTGGTCAAGCATCGTTCAGGAACAGAAAATATAGTGGTTGATGCCCTGAGCCGTCGGATCAACTTGTTGCACACTATGAGCGTTAGTGTTGTTGGTTTTGAAAACTTGAAAGACGACTATGCTTCATGTCCAGATTTTGGGATAATATACCAAGAAGTTCGCAGTGGTAATCGTCATGAGCATGTTGATTTCATCCTTAAAGACGGTCATCTCTTTCGTGGGAGCAAGCTGTGCATCCCACGTACTTCTATGCGAGATTTTCTTATATGGGAGTTACACGCTGGAGGTTTAGCTGGTCATTTCGGGGTTAATAAGACAATGGCATTAGTCGAAGATAGGTTCTACTGGCCTTCACTCAAGCGTGATGTGGCTCGCATAGTGTCTCAATGTCGAAATTGTCAAACTTCTAAAGCCAGGCGACAGAATACCGGTTGGTATACTCCTTTGCCGATTCCCGAGGCACCTTGAAAAGACTTGAGTATGAATTTTGTCTTAGGATTGCCTCGCACAGCTAGAGGTCATGACTCTGTATTAGTTGTTATGGACAGGTTTTCAAAGATGGCTCACTTTATTCCTTGTAGCAAAACTACGGATGCTTCACATCTAGCAAAGTTGTTCTTCAAGGAGATTGTACGTCTGCATGGGTTACCTACCACTATTGTATCTGATAGAGATGTCAAGTTTGTTAGCTACTTTTGGAAGACCCTATGAAAACTTTTTGGTACCCAATTGAAGTTCTCTTCTGCTTTTCACCCTCAAACTGATGGGCAAACTGAAGTCACTAATCGCAGTTTGGGTAATTTGCTTCGAAGTTTAGTTGGAGATAAGCCAAAGAATTGGGATTTGGTTCTACCCACTACAGAGTTTGCATATAATAATTCAGTGAATAGGTCTACAGGCATGAGTCCCTTTTAGATTGTTCAAGGTTTTAATCCTAAACAGCCTATTGACCTCCTGCCAATCCCGTTGACATTTCGCATCTCTGAATCTGCAGAATCTTTCACCAATCGCCTTCATGAATGACAAGCTGAAATTAGGCGCAAATTAGCAACGAGTAATGATTAATATAAATTATCTGCTAATACTCATCGCCGATTTCAAAGCTTCGAAATAGGTGATTATGTTATGGCTCGCATTCGTCCAGAACGTTACCCTAAACACGCTTTTAAAAAGTTGCATGATCGAGTTTCGGGACCTTTTTGCATAACAAAGAAATTAGGACCTAATGCTTATCTTTTAGAATTACCTTCTGATATGGCCTTTAGTCCAGTTTTTAATGTAGAGGATCTTATGCCTTACCGGGGAACTTTTGAGCCTCCCCCTTTGCTTTCTAATGATTTTGCAGGTACTCAGCCTTCACAAGTGTCAATTCCATCATTGCCTGCTGTCTCACCATCAGTTTATGAAATCGAGACCATTATGGATGATCAAATGGTCTTTACCTCTGAGGGGCCCATCCGTCGTTATTTGGTTCGTTGGAGAGGTCGATCTGATGAAGATGCCACCTGGATTTCAGAAGATGAATTCCAACAACTTAATCCTGCCTTGCTAGAAGCCTATCAACTCTCTACCTCTCCGGAGGAGAGTTCTTTGCAGCAGGGGGGAATTGATAGAAAATATGGCAAATATTACTTTAGGAGGAAATAATTTATTACTTCTTATTGCCTTTCATTAGTTTATTAGTTTTGTTATTTTTCATTTAACTTTTGTAAGTTTCCTTCTTGTGAAGAAAACCAAGCAGCAAGTGGATTCTTATTACTTTTCATTAGTTTATTAACTTTTGTAAGTTTCCTTCTTGTGAAGGAAACTAGGCAGCAAGTGGATGTTTCCTTGTTAGGAAGGAAACCTCATACTTATAAATAGCATGACTTGTGTATTCAGGAAGGGGAATGAATGTTTGAAGCATTATGATTTTCTGAAAGCTCCCTCTCTCTCTTCAATTCTGCATCTCTCTTCTGTTCTCCCTCTCATACTTCAGTCACTTCTCTCTCTTTTCACCTTCTCTGTTCTCACTTCCCCTCCACCTCCCACTCTCTGTTTCTGTTTCTTCTCCCTTATCCTATTCTGTTCAAATCAGTGTGAGCGTGAGTGTTTGTGTTTTACATCAATACTAATACCCAGGAAGGACAATATAATGTAGAAATATAATCAGGGAGTCCAGGAAGAAATTGGTCCGTCATTTACCAAATTGGATGCCAATGCATTTACACTAGTTACTTTTGTAGTGTGAATTTAGTTAAACTTCAAACTTATGTCCATATAATCTTCTGAATAGTCCTCTTAATTTATCTTCATTCTTTATAGGAGTTCTTAGACACATGCACTACCCTAATTACTGATGAGTAATGAGTATCTCTGTTTTTTTTTTTTTTTTTGGTTTCATTGTCAATCAAACTTCATGCCCAATGAAATATTGAGCATTTGTTTTTACATAACTGCTTCTGTATGCTATTAGCAAAATTTTGCTCAGCTTCTTTTCCATACCTTAGTGAAATCACCATACATTTGGATCACTCTCCAAAAATAGATATTTTAATTTTTAACTTAAATCCAAGGGAAAAGGGGAAAATGAAAACAGAGATGATTACAGTTAAAAGAGATGTCAAATAATCTTAACCAACACCAACCTTCTTACCAACTTCAAGTGACCCTAGTTCATTGTCCCATAATACTGACTTTGCACCATTGATTGTGACCATTCTTAGAACAGTTTCAGCAGGCAATGCTGTTGGATCTGTAGTTCCCTTTGCATAAACTTCCCGTCCTTTATTAATCAGAGAGGCTATGTACATCTCATCAACTATAAAGAGATAAATTCATAAACACTTCAAGTCAGTAAAATATAGCAAGCATTTGTGAGTGCGTTACATTCAATTTTTCTTTAGAATATTTGCAACTGGCGCTATTTTAGTGAGAACTAAAGTACGCAAATATTTTCATTGATCCAGTAAAGACTATAATATAAAACTATCATAAGAAAAGCAGTCATGCATAAAGGAGAAAACCTAGTGATGTAAAATTGATAGTATAATAACAGGAAAGCAAATAATTAGAATGTTAGCAGTTAAAATGAACCAATGCTCATTCGATTGTTTGATGGTGCCCCGTCAGTTCCCAAGGAGACACAGATGCCAGCATCAAGCATCTCCTTTACAGGTGCAAATCCAAGCATTCGCATTGCAGCAGCAGGACAGTGAGACACTTTGACCCCTGCCCTTGAGAGGAAAGATATCTGAAAATTTTAATATTTATTGGTCATCATGTTGCTCCATGAACAATTGTTATTTAGACAGAATTTCCAAATATTCCAGGGAAGGGACAATTTATCTCCTGGCATTTATGTAAACAACTATGTTTGTGGTTTTGCCAGTTCATTTTTCAAATTATTACCTTGATTTTATTTTCCTGGTTAATTTGTTAAGGTAAGTTCTAAAATTTACTGACATAAGCACACACACACCTCAAGAAACCCTTATATGTTTTAAATAATATTAAACTATTAATTACTCTGGAAGATAGAGGAAATACCACACACTCAAGAGAAAAGTGCAAATTCAAGGAAAAGAAAAGGTTACATGCAAATAGGATTTAAAATATAATCAATAATAAAAACTGCATAACCAAATTTAGACAAAAAAATCCTGATAAAAACAAAAAAGGACCAACTTTGAGAAAGGTCAAAGAATTGTTTTTATGGCACTTGAGATCTAGAGTGTGTTCGCATATGCATCTGGTATGCAAACAAAACTTTAATAAGTGAACTGAGTCTTGTTGCAATAGTAGTAGCATAGTTATAATGACATCAATTTACCTCACTATCATCAACCCAGACAGTATGAGCTGATAACAGATTGTTTTGCAGGAAACCTATCTTCTCCAAGTATGTAACAGTTCCATGATTTACTTTGTGAACATCCATGACTAGTTGATTCTCATATGGTATCTCTGCAACATGCTAAAGTCAAGTTTAATTCGACATATGTTACATATTAGCTGGCATGTTAGGAGCTATCAAATTGTAATCTAGATGTAACTCGTGCTCCAAATAACTACCTATACAGGCACTCCATTAACCATAGAAATAACATAAAATGCACAAAACACCACAAGCACACACAGTGTGTGTGGGGTGGGAGAGATCAATACCAAGTGTATCCCTGTTTTCAGGTCTCTTGCAGCATCCCTTGTCTCAAGAAGCAAGCGTTCAGTAGAATTCATGATTTGCCTTATCCCAAACCACACTCTGATGCGGCCATCAGCTGTATTATTATGCTTCTCATAATTCTCCTTCTGAGACTGCAAAACAGAATAACCAGTGATACAGCTTACATCTGAGTTTGCCAGCCATCACGAGTCAATCATTATAGCTGATAAACTTCCAAATGTCCCAGTACGGACTCCCGAATTGGTAATGCAAAAGGATACACTTATCAATAATAAATGCTGAGAACATTTTGATATCTTGACCTACCCTGCCCTGTCTCGAAGGAGGGATAGGGGAAATAAGAATTTTAAAGTTAAAACATGGAGGAATACTTCCCAAATTACATTCAACAAATACAGTTTTAATGCTTAAGGCTTGGTTTGAATGGAGGGAAAAGTAAGAAGAAAATAAGGAAGAGAGAAAACTCGGTGGAGAAATTTCCAGAAATAGTAAATGTTTTTAACTATTTTTAGGAGTTTTCCTCCTAGTTTCCCTTCCCCTCTATTTTTCTCCCCATCCAAACCAAAGGTAACTGTCCGCCTTTCGGTCCAAGAATAATGACACCCTGAGGCAGGGTGAGATGTACCTGAATACAATCATCAGTAGTTCGAGCTGCCCAAGATGATGGCAAACCCTCACCAGCGTCCATGGTTGACTGGGTCAAACACGCACGTAAGCCCAGGAGTTTCACTGCTCTAGCCATCCCAGAAACATGTTGTCCTCCAGCTTCAGCAAAGCAAGTAACCTGAATTTAGGAAGAAATCACATGAACGAAAGTCGCATTTATACATAACTAACAACTCCCTCTTCGACAGCATTGAAGCAGCAAAATCCAGCAGACAAATGGGAAATGTTGAAGCTTACACCAGAGTGAATGAGTTCGATTCCACACAGTAAAGTGGAAATGTAAGAATCCTCTTCAGTCATATTGGATTCATATGGCCAAATGCGACCATGCAACCAGGTGATTAAATCAACATCATCAGCTATACCTCTACCTAATTGCTGAGAAGTGTGAACGTGCGTGTTAATGAATCCTGGATTAGCAAAATGATGAGATGACCAGTTAGAATCAAAGAGTATTTACCATTTCTTTAACAGAATTCTAATTTACTTTCTTTTAGAATCTTGTCTATTTTAAAAAAGAATCGGGATCCCCGTGAATCTCGATTTTCACACACTATCTTACCAAGAAAACGTTAACACTCATGCTAATTAATTAGATATTAAATTCGCATTCACGAATTTGACCACACAAAAAAAAATTAAAAAAATCGCACTCAAGAAGAAAGCCGTCTATCTCATTTAAAATAACGACGACGACGAAATGATGAAGAAAACGGTAGGACAGGAGAGAAGGAATTGAAGAGACCAGGAAGTAAAATGTGGCCGTGGAGATCAATAATTTGGGTGGCGAAAGCAGAAAATTGATGGAGAATCTGGGAAGACTGGCCAATGGCTTTAATTTGGTGTCCTTCAATGGCGATGCCTCCGTCCCGAAACACTCGGCTATCATCGTCCATGGTAATGATAACAGCACCATGGAGAATAGTCAACGACAAGTTGGTCACCGTCGTCATCACCGCTTTCTCCGATTACCTGTCTGCCACTGCTGATTTTCAGATTCTGATATCTCACCTTCAGCCCTGAAATTTCTGAACTCTCAAGAAAACTCACCATTGCCACTGCAAGTGTTTAGCTCGCCAATTTATATTTAATTGGATTAAATTGATATTCATGAATTTTTCTGAAATTTTTCTTTTTTTAATATCTAGATTTATTTTATTATTTTTTATAAAATATAAAAAATTTAAAAAATAAATTTCATAAAACTCACGAATTTTTTAATTTTAAATTATTCATTTCCTTTAAGATTTTATTAAAAATGCTCAAAAATATCATATGCTTTCACTCATTTACAAAAATAAATATTACATCCTCACTTCCTCAGAATTTAGATGATATAAATTCTCTAATGATTTTCAAACCAAAAAAAAAATCTCCAATGATTTTATGAAAATTGAGAGAAAATTTTTATAATTAAAAAAATTGAGATCAAATTTTGAGATGCTTTAAGAAAATAATCAAAAAAATCGTAAATTTTATTAATCACAAATAGAATATTCAGAGTGGAATATCCAAATTATAAACAAAATTAAAATTTTAGTTATATAGTTCCAAAATTTTCTGGAAAAAATTGGTTTTTATAATTTTTAAATAAATAACTCTTTTAAAATAAATATCAAGTGAGGGATTGCTTTTTTTTTTTTTGGCCAGCAAGGGATGGACTGGTTTGAGCAATTATACTTTATTGTTAGTTAACAAGTTCATGTATAATTTACTTGTTTGATATTTTATTTTTGGAAGGTTGAAGACTTGACGTTAATTTTTTAAAAAATTATACTTAAAATTATAAGTCATTTTTTAAATATATGGTATTTAAAAATATATGGATGTGCGGATGTACACGTAAAGATAAAATTCGAAATGAGCACGTATGCGAAAAAGTGAGGGTGGCACTTATTGAGAAAAAAATGGTAGAAAATCAGTTGAGATGGTTTGGGCATGTACAAAGAAGACCAAGGGAGGCACCAGTGAAAAGAGTGAAACATATAACTTTAAGTTCGATTAAGAGAGGTAGAGGAAGGCCTAAGAAAACACTCTTGAAAGTTATTGAACGCGATCTTTTAATTAATAATATTTCTAAAAGCTTGATAAATGATAGAGTATAATGACATCTTGCAATCCATATAGCCGACCCCACTTAGTGGGATAAAGGCTTGTTGTTGTTGTTGTTGTTGTTGTTGTATGGTATTTAAAAATATATATATTTGCGTTTTTGTAGAAGTAATTAATAATTATTTTAAAAAAATGTGTGTAATAAATATTTGAAATTAACTATATTTTCGTGTGCGGGTGTATATATTATAACCTGGTTTTGTCTCTCATGCAGTAAACCTAATATCTAGTTATATGCATATACATACATACATACATATTAATGTAGTTCTTCTATTTAACTCAAAATAAACCTGATGTTGCAAAAAAAAACAAAAGAAAAACAAAACAAAACAAAAGAAAAAGAAAACTCTCTCCAATTTCTATTTCCACTTATTCGGTGAGCTAACATCATAACTTGGCAAGACTTGATAAAGAGTTAGAGTCAGATCCAACTATTGTGTTTGGACTGATATAATTAACAGCTGAGTATCAAATAGATAATAGAATAAATTAAACAGGTTTTCTTCCACGTAATGATATATATCTTGATTAGGAAAATATAATGATAAAATATTAAATAATTGCATCTTGAATCAAAACCACCCATACTAGATATCACCCAACGTGATATATCGCCTAACACAGCAGAAGATTTCATTATTTACAAAAGAGATTAAATTAAACGGTGGTGGAAGTTGTCGTGGCGGCTATAGCATGTCTCTGTTCCGTTGCATGACTCTATTATTATTGATCATGGAGGCTCTGTTTCTATTCTATAAGCATTTGAAAAAGTTGACAGTTACATAAAATAAAATAACTTTATTTACCATTTTAAACTCCAAAAGTTACTCTAAAAATGAGAGAAAAGTGTTGTAAGTAATTGAATGACATTGGTGATGAATTGCGTTGTTTGGGGCCCATATCCTGGTACTATTAGTTGTGGACTTGTGGTTCCCCTCTTAATGTGAAGGGTAAAAGAAATTGGAAATTTTTTTTTTAATCGCTAACTATAATAAATAATTAAAATTAATGTTGTTAATTTGATATGGCATTAACTGGGACTATGTATGATGATATGATCATGGGAAAAGAATTATTTTGTGGAATTGAGACTGTTGATGGATGTGTGTGTGTGTGTTCTATTATTCTCATTAGACTATATTGTTATTACTGATTATATTTTGTCCTTTGTTATCACACGTGATAATGGTACATGTCTCTCAACTATTTCACATACAATCAGATTGTATACAAGGAGCATATGACATGCTTCTTGCTCATTTTCACTATACCGTCTACCTTTGATATGGTAATGGAAGGTGTTGGGGCTAGATTACTACATTAAATTGGGGCCCACTGGGCTTCAAAAGGTGTAGGCCCATGATTTGTGTGAATCTTAAATTACAAGAAGTAGAAGAAAAAAGCCAAAAATATACTATCACTAAACTGAGACTTGATCTTGGAATGTGATTAGATTTATTTTGGCATTATTGAATAATTGGTTGTAATCAACTATGGTTAAGCATGCTATGGAATTTACTTCTGGGTATGAAGATTTTTATCCCACTCCATGTTTAATATTCTTCAGGTGATAGTTTTAGCAACACAAGGAATTGAGCAATGACCACCCTTTCTTTAACGCATAGACCACATTGCTTTTGTTTCATATACTTGATATGTGTACTACAATTAAAATTGGGAGTTTATTATATAAATGTTAAGTATTAGGTTCGTCTTATGTGACTTTTTAAAATTCATCTGTAATACCCATTATTTTTCATATAATATGTAACAATTATCTTTATTGAATGCAGTTGAAAATTGTGTTAATGGTTGTTTGAATATATGTGAACTTTGTTTCCTTTCATCAATGGATGTTGTTAAGGTTGTTAATTTTTGTTTTTTTTTTTTTTTTTGAATTGGAAGGAGGTTAAATTAGTCCTATGAAGGATTGAACCCGCACCATCTCCCTTATATATTATGTGACGTTAAGGTTAAGGTTGTTGTCAATCCGCATGAAATATATTATGTGAAAGTGGTATCCATGTGGCATTGAATAATATGGACATAAAGCATCAAATTTACCCTAAATCAACACAACGATGTGAACACAAGGTTGAATGTGGGAAACACTTCAAAGAACTTGGTTGTATCTTGAAGGTAGAGGCTGTGAAGCAAAGTCGAATTGGTGAGAAAATCGGAGAAAAAGTTGCAAGTATAAAAGGGACTAGGGGTTAAATTATCTACTGTTGTCACCAATGATGAAGCAAAGACCATGAAAAGGTTGTGGAATTGTCCGCAGAGGAAAGGGGAGTGAGACCAGTGAAGCAATTCGTGGAGCGAGCTAGAGTCCTTAGGAGAATAATCTAATGAAGTGAAGATAATACGAACATTTATTGGGAGGATTCCTCACCTATTTTACACGTATTGAGATAGAGACAGAGGAGAATGGAATGAACATTCAAGAAATCCTTGCTGAAAGTGTAATTTATTCAGGAAAAATGGCATTGATGAAGACCTTTGTTCTCTCTCATCAGTTGGGTGTGAAGGAATCCTCCCAGACTCTCACTTCTTAAATCCAAGCCTTCAATCCGTATTCAATATCTCTTGTCTTGCCACATCATCCTAGGTTAAAATAATTTAATTTTTAAAATTATTTTTTTACACTTTATTTCACTACTTTATATGTATATTATGATAATGATTTAAACTGTTTTTTTTCGTTTTTTCTAAAACTTGGTCTGAAAAATTACTCTGTATATTTTTTTAAACAGATTTTTTGTCATATAAATTAAGTCAGAGTTTAAATAAATCAGATTGTACGTTTTTGCTAACCTACTCTACAAAATGTTTTGAAACATAAATATAAGTATGCCAGCTGGGACTTACTCTACAGATTATAAGTCCCTGTAAGTCTACTTTACAGAATTCCTATATGGCTTGTTCGAACTTTGGAATGATTTATTTAACAAAAATATGTGAGGGGAAAAAAATGAAGAGAAAGAAGCAGTGGGAGAGAGGAGGGATGATGGTGGGGCCCAGTTAAAAGCTTTTCCGCCCAGAAAGTTAAAAGCTTGTTCAATGGGGGGAAGTGGAGTGTGCCGGACCGAAGCTTCCAGAACCATGATAGCGAGGGTGGCAAAAAGGTTGAAGCTTCACTGCGAATCATTACAGGGAGAGAGAGATCTCCGATGGTGTTGCTTTCAAAAATAGATATTTGAACTCAGTTTTCCTTCCTTCGCAATTTCTGCTTCAACATTTATCTTCGCGGGTGAAGGGTGTGGCTCAAATTTAAAATTTTTATTTTATATTTATTAAAATAAAAATTTATAAAAGTTTTTAAGGAAAATGATTATAAAATACTCCAAATTATATAAATGATAATTTGATCTCTAAAAATATTATAATTTTATTGAAATCTCTAAAAAAATATGTGTCAATAAATTTTAAAGTGAAATATTATTTTACCTTTATTGAAAATAATAAGTCCCAACCATTATTTTTATTTTAAAAAATAATAATTTTTTTTACATAAATCATAAGAGTTGAATAAAAAATTCTAACTTATCAAGTGTAATTTCTATTGAAGATTTTTTTAAAATAATAAGCTCCAATCATAAATTTTACTTAAAGAATAATAATTTTTATTTTGTGTATTGCAAAAGTTGAATAAGAAATCATAACTTATCAAGTATAATTTTTATTAAATTTTTTTTAAATAACAAGTATCAATCACAACTTTTATTTAAAGAATAACAACTTTTATTTTGTGAAATATAAGAATTAAACAAAAAATCACAACTTGTCAAATGTAATTTTTATTATTGAAAAATAAGTTCTCAAAATAACAAACCCCAATCACAATTTTTATTTAAAAAATAACAAATTTTATTTAAAGAATCATAAGAATTAAACAAAAAATTACAACTTATAAATAAAGTGATCTTTTC